AAATGTTGAAATTGATGGACAGTTGATAGACAGAGCGAGTAAATTGATTAGGGTGACATGTGGGAAAATGCGAGCGGGTCTGGTCTCCATGTTTGTTTACCTTCGACTGGGAGCCCTTTTTGTGACCTTCTTTGCATACAACTTGGCCAAACACCAGAGCAAACACACCAGGAGGGAGTAAACAAAGGCAGGAGTCCGAATGGAAGTCAAAGTCGGTCCGAGGGTTTAATGCCCCGGGGCAGTCATTGACACCCGAAGCTCCTCCATTTGCTGGCGATGGTAGGATCCAGATTGGAACACGGTAATTAAACAAATTTACCTTTATCTGATGTCGGTAAATATTGGAGCAGTTTTCACTCCATGAACATTGTTATCCACACGCTGAAAAGTATGCAAGTTCGGAAAACTCATGGGAACTCGTCATGTTTTCCCAGCACTCACAAATAAACCGCACTTCACTAAACATTTAAATATATTCATTCCGAGCGAAACATTTCGTTTGAATTTTGTAAAAAGCTGATACTTTTAGCTGAGAGTCACTTAAGCTCTTAGGTAAGGGAAATCCTAATGTATTACAGCACAAGTCACTTCAGAAATCTTACGTATTTATTAACTCATTTTTTTTTACAACTCTCTACATGTTTTGAAATATTTTAAATATTTTGTATGAACGCGCTGTTTCCATCCGCTTCTGCCGCACATTTTCGTGTGGCAACCGCAAAGACCGAGTGTTCAAATGCGTTTCTGGGGTTGCTCTTCCGTTGTGCCGTGGAAAAGCCAAGTTCGAAAGGCAGGGAAATTTCGAAAAGCCATTTTAAGAGAGACCAAAAGAGAGCCGCTGCGCATAAGAGAACCCAGGCGCTTCTGTGTTGAAAGTAAAAGGCTTCGCGACATGCAACGCCTGTCGAATTCAAGACACCTGCCCACCCGAACACCACGCCATTTGTGTATGGCCATACCTGTCTGTTTGCAACTCTGGAGTTTCGCATTTTTGGCTTTGGGCGTATTTTTTGTCCGTGCTCTGCTGGCCACGCACTTGTTAAATAGTTAAGCAGCCCGCAGCATGATAATTTACCAAAACAGCAAAGGGGGCACTCGGATGTGGCAGTGGGTAGGAAAGTTTGGCGAAAAGGAAGTTGCCGCAAAGTTTGTAACATGGCTCTCGAGCTGGCAGCTTGCAATTGAAATTGATGGGCTGTCTTGCCATAAAGATAGAGAATTTGCTGATTTTACACACTGCAATAATATTAATATTAATAAAGGGGTCTTTACAATTAAATTTGTAATAAAAAATAGCTTTGGAAAGGCGTTTCTATTTTCAAGACACTGCTGCATTCCATGTAGCAAAAAGGTTATTTGTACATTTTTAGTAACTGTTTTTTTATTTTCCTAATATCAAAATATGTTTACAGCTACCAAAACACTAATAAAACTGTCATATTCCTTTCTCTTAGGATGACAGTCATTCGGGTTTATGGTTCCCTTGTACGTGCATATAAAAAGCGGGCTTAAGTTTCCCTTTTTCCCGTCGCTCCGCGCTTTTTCTCTCTTTCGGCCCAGTCCTGAGTCCTGAGTCCTGGGTCCTGAGTCCTGAGTCCCGCCATATGATGTGAATCATGGCCAGGAGCAGAGTGAGGGAATTTCGCGACTGCCAAGTGGGTTGGTGCGGTGGTGGTTCTCTCGCAGAGTTCCACCCACTCTCGGCCAAACTGTCTGCCAAAGCAACAAATGTCTTTCAGCCACAGTTCGGCGGAGAGAGCCATATACAGCTGTTGGCCCAAACTTAAGAGAGAAGCCCACTTCGAAGCCAAGTTCGCTCTTCTTTTCTGATGCCAACAGCCGAAACTCGTTTCGCACTGCTTGGGCGTTTGTCAGCCCGGCTTAAGCGCCAGAAATAATTGAGCCAAGGGCGGGCTGGTTGTGCTGTTGCAATGCACCGAAAACCAAAAAAACTGCAAAATGTTCGCAAGTGTTTGGTGAATGAAAAGCGAAACTTGATTGGCTGGCAAGTTGACGATGGAAATTCATTAATTGACAGCGATATCCAAGCACCATGTGCACACACAGAGCATTTTATGGCATTTCATTATTTGCGCAGCTCATTAATCTTGTGGATCGGAAAACAGTGATTGGGCTGTACAATTGGCTGTTCAATTGAAATTGATAAATTAGGGCCACGGCCCATATCGAACAATGATGAAAAATGTATTAGGTCAAAATATTAAAATTATAAACAATTTGCACACTTCAATGGCATCTAAACATTGTTTATTGTCTAGTCAATCAATTAATTTAAGCCGCATGCTAGTCTTCTCAAAGACAATAATTAAAAATAAAAAAAAAGCAGTGGCAGAGTTATTGGAAACCAATTAAGTCAAAATCTTGGATTTCTCAGCTGCTGCTGTTGGCCAAGTCCAAGCCACAATATGTGTATATAAAAGCAGACAGATACACTAACTGGTTTGATTGGGGCAAGTTGAAAGGTCAGTTATGGCCTAAAGGCTTGCGATTGCTTTGCCACACGCTTTGAGTTGCTTTTAATTGTTTAGCACATGCCGTGGGTGAGTTCGAATGAAAAACGCTTGCTTTTGAGCCGCTGCGACTGCCGTTTTATCTATTTGATTTTCTGGCATACGGAAAACTGCAACTGGTTTTTGATTCGCCAAGCCTGACAAATGTTGCAATTTTGGCGAGCAATTTGTTGAATGGCGTTTATATAATGTCAAACAGCAAATTCAAAGCAACAAGAGTATGTTCAATATTTTTAATAAAAATATTTAATTTATAATGCATTCAACTTGTATCACCTAAAAATGCTGGATTTCTGCAAGTGTATAGGGTATTATTATTAAGATGTTTACCCCTGCTGAATTTAGCTTATAGCAACAAATACCTTGAAAATCATTTTTAATCCCTATATGAATTTTCAATTAATGTCTTATCCTGAGTTGCCATCCTGATGCTTAAGGATGTAGCGCGCTGCCATCCGGATTTGTAAGGATGTCGACAATTGAGAACATAGGTTTGAGTACCAGATATCTTTAGCCAGTTTCACGCCCATGTCAAATGTAGATATTCAAAGTATATGATGTACGAGCGAAATGTAGAATATAATAATTTGTAGAAAAAAGGAATTCCTTTTATAAAAAATTGAATAAATAATTTTAAAATGAGCATATTCACTTTATTTAAATAATACCAACGGTTCCTACAGTCGCATGCATATATAAGCCTAAAAACAGAAGAGGTAGACATGTAAATATTTTAAGAGCAGTATATTTTTATTTTTCGCTGACGCTACAAGTTTTTATACGCCTTCAATAAATGTAACGCGTCCATAATGCGTCACATGAGATTTAACGCAAAAGGACGTTCAAACAAATTGAATACCCCAAAAATGTTCGGTTCATTTAACCCACTCGACACTCGGGGGTCAACTAAAACCGGAAAAAAGTGGATGAGAAAAAATGGAGCCCAAAAAAGTGTATCAAATCGAGGCTGTTGAGGGTCTGTTTGGCATTGAGCACTCGAGTGGACAGCAGACAGGTGGAAATGCCCGGTCAGGAAACACTTTTAGTCCACGCTGCTTGGTTCACTGGGTTTCGGGATTGAATTAATAAAAACCATTTCCAGGCATTATAACGTGGTAAGTAAGATTGGGGACTAGCTGCGAAGCTTATTTTCAATTTATGTTCATGGAAAATGCCCCATATGCGTGAAATAACTTTTGGCAATTCGAATTTGAATTAGCTGATCATCCTCTTTAATGTGTTAAAATAAAATGAATTTAACTTGGCAAGCTTTCATTTCCTAACCATTCCTTAATCTAAACAATGTTCTGGGGAATTCCCTTTCGAGAAATGCAATAAAAGTTCATTTTCACTTACCGTGTGCGTTAAAAGTGTGTGTAAAAGAATGGCACGCTCGCACCATAAATCAATTGCATTGAAAAATGCTTTATTAAATAAAAGGAGGTAGCTGGGATTTCCGATGGCCAGCGTCGAGCCACCGAGGATATCGCCATATGTACGTCCAGTTGGGGCACCACTGCCCCTGCCCCTCTGCACATCCTGTCTGGCTTGCAGCTAACTGTCTGCTTCCGATGCCACAATTTACCCCTTTTCCCTGCGCCCGCCCGATATCCATATCCATGCTGAAGTATTTTTGCGCCCTGCTGCATTTTGATTTACTTTCATGGCTAGACAACGCATGTTGAGGCGTCATAAGACCGGCTCACTTGTTGGGCTTCGGAAATTATGTCCTGCAGGTGTCTGCGCCGCAACTGATTAGCTCCTGCCCCCAAGGACTCGCCGAGGGTCCTGTGGCTCCACCGCTGACGCTAATGCGACAGGTTGCCAGTCAGCGACGTGCATTAAAATTCAATTACAAAATATTTTCCAGCTGCACTACGTGGTCGGGCTTAGACTCGAGGTCCAGGGTCACTTTCTATTTGGGATTCCACTGAACTTCGCGACAGCTGTTCCTATTTACAAGAGCTCAGTTCGTTCCGGCAGTGGTATTGCATTAATTTCAGAGATCAAACGCGCTGACAGAACCGCAAGCTAATGAAAATGTGAAAAGCCTCTGACAGCCCCACTTTCATTCATTTTCCCATTTACAGTCCGTGAGCGCTTTTTAATGAAATACGATGTGGCAAAGCTACATTCCGACAAGTTCTTTGACGAATAATGAGCAATTTCGACAATTTAATTGCAGCTACTCTTGGGTATATTCTATATATAGTAAAGGTAAGCCGAATTAGTTCATAATATGAGACTAATAAACTTTGTATAAATCTAGTCATTTCATTATAGTATTTCAATTACATACATATAATGCTCACTGCGCCTTTTCTTAGAACATGCCATTAAATGCGTTTAAGTGGAATCCTCTATATTATCTTATTCTGTGCAGAATTGATACCCTGAGAACGAATTCGGAGAAATGAACTATAATAAAATCACCCAGTAAGTGATAAGAATGCGGTGCAGTACGCTGGCAAACGCATATAAAGCGCAGAGATTGATACTGCATCTTATAAGTTCCAATCGAACAGTACACAGCGACACATCAACATTGAAGATGAATTCCGCACTGCAAATTAGGTGAGCAATACTAAATACTGAGCAAGTCTAAGTCCAGCCGACTTAATATTAAATGTTTTCAGCTGCCTTCTCCTGGTTCTTGGCTGCCTTTTGGGCTCAGGACACTCCCAAAGTGAAGCTGAATTCGCGGCCAAGTCCCGAGAAATAAGTCAGATTTTCGGGAATCCCTCCGTCGATAAATACACGAAGGCCCGCAATTTGCCCAAGCTGATAGCCTTTTACGAGAAATACTCCAGTCGCCTACATCTGACAGCTCAGAAAAAGAATAACATCAATAATGCTATTAAGCAGTATCGTGCACAGCAAAACCACCAAGTTGACGGAGTATCTGCTCAGGGAGGATGGGTATCTGGCATACTCAAGGCAATTGCTGACGCCATTTTGGGGGGCAATGACAGCCCGAAGACCGATAAGAATAATAATAATAACAATAAGAACGAAAATGTAAATCTGATCAACACATATGTTAAGCTGTAAAGAAATAGATTGGGCAAAACTGCAATAAACATGAATTAATTCAAAGAAATCTGCATAAATGCCTAAGATTTATCTCAAAACAACTAGTAACAATCCCACATTCAATTTGCAAGAGCGACAATATCAACTTTTATCGCGAAAGAAGTGTATCTGCTCCTTTTTAGCATATCTCCACTCCAACTAGCTTATCTTACAGTTTCGGCTTTTAGAAATGTTACTCACTACTAAAATCTAACTCAACATTAGGAATTATCAGATTTCTAAGCAAACTCCGACTTTTTTGGAAAATAGGCACGAGCAGGTGGATTTTCCATGGGGATTTTCCGGTGGGGCAATACCTATGCGAGGAGCATTTCCTGCTGACAGGTGAGTGCTGTCGATTGTCGGGTCGCCTGCCTTTGACAATAGTAAATGACATTTGACATGCCACCGCACGATTACAGGCAGGGATTCTGGCAGTTGTCGTCGAGTGGATTTCATGCAAATTGGCAAATTTTAGCTGGATCGGAGCTGGCCTTTGTGAAGTGGATACCCTTGTGTATCCTGCAGGAAGTTGTTGAGGTGGTTAAGTGGCTGCCAACGCAATTAACTGCTTCACATGGTGATGAGAGGTGCTCAACTGACAGTCAGTTCTACATGTTGAATGTGCGACACAAAAAGTGCGGCCAATTGTGCGTGGCGCGCGAGTAAAATGGAGACAGCTGAATGAAATGACATCAAAACCCATCGAAAGTGCACCCAAGCCTGGACTCAAAGTAGCACCCAAACCGGCACTTCCTCCATTTAAATTCCGCTTGTTGCCCTCCAGCAGGCGACAAAAGAACTCGACACATTTACAAGACACAAATGCGGGGTCCATCTTCTTGGAAACAGCCATCCATACCAGGCCGAAATCGAAGAACGGCAATTTTTGGTTGACTCATTGGTGTCAGCGGAGGCAACACCAATGTGTTGCCTTAAGAAGCAAGTTTCCGATGACTCATGGCAACTGGCGATGAAATGAAAGTAAGTGCTCACCTCAGGAACCACACTGCCAAGCACGGCTCATCATAATAAGGTTGTAAATCGTAAAATACTAATGTGTATAACAAATAAGTGATTCTGATCCTAAAAAGAATATTCGTGAACAGGATTACTAGGTGAGTTGATCAAACGGCGGGAGGTGGCAAAGCCAACAAATTGGTTGAAGCTATAGTATAATTCCGAGTATAATTAAGAATTAATTCTTGAAACTCCTTATCGCGGCACTTCACATTGTTCAGGCAGTATTGATAATTGAGAACGAACTCAGAGAACAGCGCTGCAATCGCTAAAAGCGGAGGGATTGATGGCACAACGCATCAGTTCCAATTGAACAGCAGAGAGCCTCGCATCAATAGTGACTCTTTAAGTTGGCCTTTAATTTGAGCAAAATTGGAAGCAAACTAAGTATGGAACTCACCGCTCTTCGATGGTGGTGGGCAGTTGGGTTCGGGCCCGCATCATGCTGAGAAAGTGCTTTCCGGGGGAGATGCCTCCTGCGGACGAGCTGGGCCCACTCAGACCGCTGCTGCCCTCCGAAAGGTATCCATTGTCGATGTCGTGGAATCGCGATCCCCCCGGGGAGCTGCCCACGCGCAGAGCATCGCCATCGCTGCAGTAGCCCTGGGCAATGTCCGATTCACAAAAGTCCAGGTAGGATTGATGTGGGTGGTGGCCACCGCGAGCCCCCCTCGTCGGCAGGGTCACGTGCGAGTTGTAGCCCCTGAGCAGCGGTCTCATGGGCAGGATGGAACCTCCAGTGGCTGGTGGTGGTGGTGCGGGCAACTGCTCCTCCTTGGACTCGTAGATCGTGCCCACAATCTTGGAGGGTATCGTGTGGAACTTGTTTGGCGAGGCGGTGGGTGTGTTGGGTGCCGAGTTGACCAGCGGCCGCGGCATTCCCTGTCGCATGTGGTGCGGTGGAGAGGACAGTATATGAGGTCCTGCGTTGTACTCCAGTTTCCTAGGAGCGCCGAGGGCGGACTTTGGTGGCGGAAGGCGACTGTTGCCGTAGATACCCGAGCTGTGTTGCGGCGTGCTGGGCTCACTCAGAAACCCATGCGCTGATATGTGGCTCGTTGGCTGACTATTCGCATAGTAGGGAGGTGGTGGCGTCTGATTCTGATGGATATGTGCATGTGTGCTGATGGGTGGCTCGGCCGGCGGTGGCTGGGATATGTTCGAGGATATGTCACTGGTTTCGCGTTTGAGCAGCTGCTGGTGACTCTGCTGCTGAGACTCTGCAGCAGGAGGGTGGCCAGCACCACCACCCAAGGAGGGCAACTTGCTGGTGCCCTTAATGGCGGCAATAGGCTTGGGCAGTCCCCCGCCACTGGGACTCTGGAGGAGTTGGGGCGCCTTCAAGGAGCTCTTCGAATCCGACTTCGAGTGCAGCGAGGACTTCGAGGACGTCTTGGGTGTGTTCTTCTCCACACCACCAACTGCGCGGACCAAAGATGACTTGCCAGTCCTGCCCATTGTGGAGCTACGTGACTCATTGCCCGACTCCTCCTTATTCAAGGACCTCGCCGGACTCTTCTCCTTTTTGTCCAGCTTGGTGGCCTTGTTGGCCTGGTCCTTCTTCTGCTGGGCAGCCAGCAGCTTGGACTGCTTCGTCTTGGGCTGCGGCTTCTGGGAACTCACGCTAATGCTGGGTGGTTTCAGCTGAGATCCATGACCGTCATTTAAACTCAGGCTGGAATCGGAGCGCTCCGACCGCGCGGAGCTGAAGCCCGACGAGGAGGATGTCCTCTTGGACTGGACCTGCGTTTTGCTGGCTACTGAGGCGGCATTTACCGCATTTTGTTGCTTCTCCTTGTTGAACAGCTTCAGCTTGTCCAGCATCGAGTGCTTCTGGGGAGCGGTCTGCGGACTGCTCGGTGAGGGAATGCCGCTCTTAACGCTCGGAGGTCGGAGGCTGAAATGAGATATATTATTCAATAATTATAACGAAATGCGTGTACAGTTAGGAAGCTGTACGTGAAGACTTCAATGGAACCTTACCTGTTATTGTTGCCGCTCTTGAGGCTCTGGATTGTGTGGTTGCTGGTGGGCGGACTGTTTGGACGGCTGGTATTGAAATCACTGCCGCTCTTTCCCAGGCCCGGTATTGCTGAAAGCAAGGGCGATATCAAGGGTTATGCTATAGAATGCTCTAAGGACCTGCAATCCCACTCGATTGTACGATTATCGGCGTCCACTTAACTGAAAGAGTCAAGCCATAAATCTGTGCAAGTGGCAATGCGGACGTTCAGGTTAATTAATTGCCTTGCGTGAGGCTGATAACAGATTGGAAGAAGTCTCGAGAGCAGCTCCGAGATTTATGATTGCCCAGAGACCAGTCGAATATTTGGTGTATAAATCATGCTGGAGAGTGAAACTGTTCTATAATAAGCCCCGGACCGGGAAGCTCATTCTCAAGCAGAATGAAGCGTTTTGTGCCGCACTCTCTCACGATTGGGTCAAAAATGCATGACAAACGGGAAATTGTGGTTGATGAGATTAATTCTCACCTTTCATTTGATTGCTAATGTGAATATTTCGAAGATTCAAAGTTCTTTCCTGGGTATTTGTGCTGCTCAACCTGAAACCAAGAGGTGCGTAGCTCTGAATTTGAGGAATTTTCAATTACTCTCCAGCCTTCTAATTAAATGAAGTATTCAGTTACCTCGTCCACAAATCACCGTCACCTTTTGGCATACGAAATTCTAACCCCAAACGGATCCCCAGGGAGCTCTGGCTATGAAGTTGGGATGTCCCCCGCAATATCCAAATCTCGGTCACAAGCCCACCCGTAAAACGCATTTGAAAAGGGCTAAGTGCAGTCTGCGCTTTCCAGCTTTGGTGGTTGTTTCCCAACCCCCGACCCCCGAGAACGACCCCCGAGACCGAAATTTGTTTATTCCCGGTAAACAATGGGAGGTCCCTCACCTCCCCGCAAAACACATCAGGGTGGTTGAGGGCTTACAGCATTTTTTAATACATTTTCCCAAACCAGAGATGGGTACTCACATGGCGTGTGATTCGGTGTGGGTGGCAGTGGACGCACTTTATCCGGCGGACAGCGCCGTTGGACCATCACGGTGGCGGGCAGTGGAATGGCAGTTCCGCCATTGACCTTTGCGTAGGCGGGAGCAATTTGTCTGCAATGGAGGAGAAGCGCATATAGATATTAAAGTGCACATAATAACAGGAATATTACATGAATTCACAGAGAATTACCATGCAATTTACAATTTTTTAAAAATAATCTTTTATGGTTTTAATGGCCTTCGCCCACGCCTCTGGTCCCAAGTAAATATTTATTGGCAGTCTGCAATCACAGATTTGCGCGGACTGCGGTATCAGTATCTGTAAGATACTTTTGAAATAATGTCATGCTTATAAATTAACCAACGAATGGCTTGTTGTTGCCGCCAAGCCCCTTGGTGCAATAAAAAAATAAGAAGAGAAAACAACATCGACTTTAAGACCTGGCAATGCAGTAAATTTTTTATGTTCGTGATCATAAATTTGCATATCTTGTTGAGAGTGAACTGAAAAAGTACTTTTGTTTGCGGACATGTAAAGAGCGTAGTTACATGAGTAGCCTCTTCAAATTGCTTGATTGGTCTATAATTGTTCCTAAATTGCAAACGTAATTCTAAGCGGGCCTTCACGGTCATTCAATGGCTCTTTGGAAAAGTATAATTTGGCTTTAATGAAAAATCGTCAGGAAATGGCTTAAACTTTTTGCAGTAGAGATCCCCTCCATAAATTACACAGAAAAAGAAAGCACTTTTGCAGAGCTCTCCATTTCAGTCTGCGCAATTAGTCATAAGTCTGATTAAGAAGGCAAATTAAGAGGGAAGTAAAAAAACGTAAACAAAACAAAACGCACTAACTTTTAATAAGTCGCGCACATAAACTTCTGGACGGGAGGCCAAGCCAAGTGGCAGACAAAGATAGAAATGTATCTTACGGCTGCCGCCATACAATTGCTGTTGGCCATTAATAAGTCAGCCAGAAAACGGCGGAGAACTGGTAGCA